GAAGTCATTGACGTTTATCTGTTCCATTGGAGCTTCTTCATCGTTATCATCATCATCGAGCTGAGTTATTCGTAGACCTTTGAAAAGATCCATGGAGTCTCCATTAATGTTACTCATCGAATTTCTCTGTTGACTTACCTAATAAAGCAAGTAAGGGAGGATTAGCTCTTTTTTGCTGCATAAACCTCTTAAAAAGTAATTTTAAAGAAAAAAATCGAAACTTTAAAAGTGATGAATCACGGAAATGTAAAAAACTTCACAATCTCAATCAATGAATCGGAATTTGATAGCTAATTCGAGTGATTTTTCACACCAACTATAATAGCAGCTCATTAGAAACCCAAATTTGTAAATTAGCGAGAGAGAATCCAAAGAAAGTTATAAAGACCAGTCGGTGAAATATACCTTGAAAAAACTAATCTTCTTCTTTCAATTTGAGACAGCAAAACTCTGTGGAGAAGAAGGTTGAGCAAAACTCTTGTGATCGAGTCTCACGAAGACGACGAAGATAAACCCTATTCCAAACGACGACGTTTTCGAGAATTAAAAAAAAAACAAATAAGCCCACGTTGAAGCCCAATAACAGGGTTGAAGCCCAATCTTCTTTCAAATGGTTTCATTGGTTGCGAACTTGCGAATAAAAGAACAATCTACAATTTGCGCAATCGAATTTGCAAATTTGTGTCTAAAATACAGGTTTCTACCAACTTTGTCTGAAATTGCCAATTTATGTCTAAAATCTTTTTTTGCCTTCTCAAATTTGTGTGTTTCGAATTTTGCAGATCTTGATTCACACTTAACATTAACATGACAATATTAACCCAAAGAAACATTTTATTTCATGTAACACCTCAAAGACTAGTAATGACAAATGGATGAGATTAATTAAATTAAAAAACTGCAGACTAGTTTTAAAGTTTTAAATTGAAAGTTTGCAAGAAAAAGACATACTACAAGGATAAGTCATCAAACAGAGGAAACAACAACATCCTGGAAAGAAGATGACGTGGGGAAAGAAGATGACTCGGGGACTGGTAGAGCATAACCAAAGCGGCTAACTTTCCCACTAATCTCTTGTCCGTTGTTGCGCTTTTCAATGGTTACCTTGGCATACCAAATTTTCTTCATCATCTCCCAAAAGACTGCAATCTTTCCACCATAATTCACCAATCTAACCGGATAGTAATAACGTCGTAGGCGTTCACAACCCTTCAAAGCCCTCACTTTAGAGTCCCACCACTCGAGCTGTACGCCACTGTAACGATATGATACGTTATCTACCACACAGTACTTATCCGAAGACCAACGCACTTCCGGTCTTACCACATCCCATTGTTTCTCCTTAGGCATGTAAACCACAGTCTTCTTTTCCCCAACCTGGTAAAGATTCCCAAACAGGTAAAGGTTCCCATTTGTGAAGATGAGAATTTGTTGCTCAAGCATATCAAGCATATCAAGTAACTCAAGGCTTAACTATTATTAGTTTGGTGAGTTGATATTGGGTTGAGTTATTTTTGGGGCCACAAGGATCGGAGGAGTCTTATGCTTTTGTCTTGTTGTGGATTCAAAAGCTAACGCAAACGCATCTAAAGGAAGCTATTTTGGCGTTTGGCAAGATGCTTTAGGTTTGATGTGGTCTCCACTATAAAGAGCAATTGAAAACGTGAGAGAGAGCTGAGCCGCACACTGTGCAAGAAGAAGAGAGAAACCAATGTTAAAGGCATAAGCTCTGTTATGACCTTAAGCAACTTCTCTCTTGGTTTTGTTTTGGTTTCAAGCTCTCTAAGGAAACGTTTTTTGAGCCTCTGAATCTTAACACCACTGATGGCAGAGCTTCTGGAAACACGTATCTCTCCCCCGGGGATTGGGAGAGTCTCCCATATTTTGGTTTTGGTGTCGAAACACTCGATCACGTTATGATAATGGCCATTTGGGGAGCCTTCCATTACATATATGGTCTCATAAATAACAGTCACGAGGGGGACCTCGCGGGCTACACGCATGCTTGGAACTTCCTGCTAGGTGTGAGACAAACAGTCCAGGACGAACACGGTAGATGAGAGCTCGTCATTAATTGATCCGCCAATCATGTAGATATCAGAACCAGCTGCGGTAGGAACCGCCCCTGTTGTCTGAGGAAGAGAAAGTTTGTTGTGAATTGGGATTGAGACCAGGAGATTCTTCCAAGGATGACAAAAGTAGGAAAAGAGGCAGCTAAGGATTGGTCGGGTTGGTTGGTCGCCGGCAGAGAGTAAACAAAGAGCCACAAGAAGAAAACTCAAACTTTAAGATGATATGGAGACAAGTCTCAGTGGTGCCTAAAAGCGTCCGGGTCTTGTATAGACCCTTGGACTCGAGGAGAGAGCGGAATCTCTTGGAGACTAAAGAGAGACTTGGGTAGTACGATTTCGAGATTCGGGCAAAGCAATTCAATTCAACATCAGTTCATCAGGGAGGTAAGGCACCTCTATGCCTTCACTCGAACTCATTGAAGAACAAAACACGAGAGCACTGTTCCTAATCCTTAATCGGAAGCAAAACTCTGGGAAAAGGTTAAGCAAAAGCTCTTGTGATCGAGTCTCACGAAAACAAACCCTAATTCAAACGACGACGTTTTGATATTTTAAAGTAAAAACAAATAAGCCCACTATGAAGCCCAATTATTAGGTTAAAGCCCGATTATAGTTTCAAAGAATTGGTTACGAATAAAACAATAATCTATCCACGAAGACAATTATCCTTATCCCGGATACGAACAACCTTATTATCCCTGAAAACTCACCGGAACTTCAATTCCCTGTCACCGGAATCTCTCTCGATCGAAGTTTCGAAACAGTAAGCT